CAGTGAGTGCCTGGACCCTGCATCTGCCTCCAGCTGGTCCACCTTGGCATCCCCAACCCCCTCCTCCTCCTCCTCCACTGGGGCCGTTCCCCCCCAGAGGACTGTGGCAGGCAGAGCTGGTGGCTCTGTCCTCACTGTGGCCTCCACTGACCCCGGCCCGTCTCTCCGGCAGGCTTCACTGTGTGGTCCAGCGCCGACTGCGCCCAGCAGCATCACTACATCTGCAAGTTCACCCCCTCACACTGAGCATGGCCCACAGGGGACACCATGGAGGACCCCACACCAGCGATGCTCCTTCCTTACTACCTCTGCTCCTCCCTCCCCAATCCCTAAAAATACATCTATAAAAACACAAGCATGCACATGCTGTGTGAGTTCGGTGCTGGTAAAAAGCCCTGGAACGGTCTACCTGCAGGTGCTGCCGTGGCTCCCCGAGCTTCCTGGCTGTCAGGGGATCAGGTGTTGCTCGTGCTGGTGGAACCATTTGAGTATGAGTCCCCAGAAGAGGTGGGGCCAGAAGCTCTCCCAGCTGGGTGCTCGTGTTTGCTCATCCCCAGCCCTCTGGTGCTAAACCAGGGGTTTGTGGGAGGATGGGATGTCCCTGGGGTGCAGATGTAGGGGACAGGAGTGTCCCCAGGGTGCAGGCATGGAGGAGAGCTGGAGCACAAATGTGCATGGGGATGGGAGCTGTCATGGGTGTGCAGATGTGGGGATGGGTCCTCCCCCCAGGTACAAATGGCTCCACAGGGGTCTGGGGGCCGCGATGCTGTTCCATGGCCATGTTGACAGCAGCACCGAGACCAAAGGTCCCTTCTTGTGTCACTGCAGTGTTGCCACAGGCATCACATGTCTGTTTGCTCTGCTGTTTTGAAGATGGCTCTGCCCCCACCACCACCTGCTCATGGTGTTTTTCCCCCCCCGCAAGCAATGGCACGTGATGGAGCTGGACCGCGTCCTGGGTGGCACGGATGGTGCCGGCACCAGACTGCCCTCTGCTCCCTTCCCAGGACCACGGGGGCAGTCAGAGAGGCCACACAGCACGTCACACACCGCGCAGGGACCGCAGCCCTGCCGGCAAGCCGTATGCACCAGAGGTGCCACCATCCCATGGCACCAGGAGCTGGGACTGTGGGAGACCCCATCCTGCTGCTCTGCTCCGGGTCCAGCCGAGCGCATTCCCAGGCTTTGGGGCAGAAGACAGAGACATCTTGCAAGTGTCGTCCCCCCCTCCAAAGCCAGCGCTTGCTCCGCTGTCCCTGTCGTGTTGGCTAGCACTTGGTGACCTTTGAGCGCTGGGGTCCGACGTGCTGATAAGGGCCAGGAGGGCTGTGCCGTGCCGCCCGCACAGTTTATAAAAGCACCACGCAAGGCTCATCCTTCTGTCCATCTGTCCGTCCTGCTATCCCTTCGTTCGTGCAGCAGCCGGGGGGGGGGAAAATGCTGCGCTTGGTTGGCCGTGCCGCGCGCTGCTGGGGGGCGAGGCAGGCACCATCGGGGCCGGAGCGGGCACGCCGGGGGGCCCAGCACCCCATGGCCCTGCAGAGGGCATGGTGAGCACCCACGCGGATCGGGTGGGGTGGAGGCAGAACCAGGGGGGTGTCGGGGAGCTGGCAGTGCTCTTGAATCTCGCTGGGGAAGGGGATGATCTCCCTCCTTCCTGCAGCATCACTGGGCACAGGGAACCAGCAGGGATTTGGGGTGCTCAGGGGCTGGGGTGCTCGCTGGTGGCATCTCCCCGAGGCCACCACCTGTCCCCGAGGCTTGGGGCCACCGCGGGACCGTTGCCGCTCCCTCTGCCCCGCAGCCTCTCCAGTGCTGCTGGAACAGGCGCCTGGCCCAAGGACGTGGGCATCCTGGCACTGGAGGTGTACTTCCCCGCCCAGTATGTGGAGCAGGAGGAGCTGGAGCGGTACGGAGCGGTGCGACGGTGTGGAGGCCGGCAAGTACACGCGGGGCTTGGGCCAGCAGCAGATGGGCTTCTGCGCCGCCCATGAGGACATCAACTCCCTGTGCCTGACGGTGGTGCAGCGGCTGGTGGAGCG